GAATTCCAACTGGCAGACATTATTATTATTATTATTATTATTATTATTAACTGGTTTGAGGGAAAGAGACAAACGGGAAAAGTCTGAAGAAAAAATTGACTGTCACCACCAGGACTCGAACCAGGGACCCTCGCTTGTAGCCAGCGATGCTCTAACCACTGAGCTATGGTGTAGTCGTCATCCCAGCAGATCAGAGGCCGTTCAACATTTTCTTCAGACTTCGTATTATTATTATTTCTCCTTTATTCACTTCTTTCGAAGGCGATAAGCCAGACCCACCGGGAAATATTTCCATGGGTGGGACAGCAAAAAGAAAGTGAAAAAACAAAAACAAAAATAAATAAATAAATAAAACCTAAAAACCAAAGGGACAAGAACTAGTTGAAGGAAGAGGAAGAAAGGAAAGAAACTCAATCCGAACTCCAACATCAAAACAATAATAAAGAATTTGCAGCGACAGGCAAAATACATCAACCAATGAAGGGAGTAGTAACAAAGGAAATATCAGTCTTTATCAGTCGTTATTCAAGTCTCTTAGCTATTGAACATGCAAACGCAGCAGAGGTGCATCTACATGTTAAGGATAGTTCTCAGTATTTTAATCGAACCTTGTATAGCCTCCTGTTGCACAATAGCCAGGTCTCCTCCCTGCACAGTCCGAAGGCATTGAGGAGTCTCCCCCACCAAGCCTCCCAGGGCACCGACAACCACAGGGACCACGTCAACCTGGTTGAGGGACCAAATCCTCGAAATCTCCCGCTTCAAATCATAATATTTCGAGCGCTTTTCAGCCATTTTCTTATTGATGTTGTTCTCACCAGGAACGCTGATGTCTATAATGTAGGCGATGCGCTCCTTGTCATCAACAAGGAGCAGATCGGGCCTGTTTGCTGATAGTTTCAGGTCAGTTGGGACCGAATACTCCCAATAGAGGCGATACTGATTACTCTTGACCAATGCCTTGAGCTGGTGGTCGAATCGTGAAGCACCAGTAGGTAGATCTCGTGCTTTACACATTTCGAAGTGCACATACTTTACTATCCGGTTATGTCGTTCAATGTAACTGGTCCGAGCAAGAACTGGGCAGGCACTGACAATGTGGTCAATTGTTTCTAAGCTGCCCTTGCAAAGCCTGCAATTGGCATCAGTTCGAGGAATTGACTTCATTATGGCGTATTGGTAATTTTTCGTTTTGAGGGATTGGTCTTGTGCTGCCATAATCATGCCTTCAGTTGAAGGTTTCAGTGTCCTTGATTTCAACCACATGAAGGTAAGCTCCTTATCTAGGCGATTCTCCTCCAATCGGCTCCAATATCTCCCATGCAGCGGCATAGTGGAAAGTGTTTTGGATTTTCGCTCAGCGCACGCTTGTTTAATGGTATGCTTATTGGGTAAAGCTGGTCCAGCTGCTGGCAGATCCAAACTCGACAGGAACTTAGCGGCCTTTGCAGTTATTGAGTGGCTTTTTGTTGTAGGTTTTTGTTGATGATACTGATAAAGCAGGCTTATTCTGTCTATTGGGCTGGTACTCATGTAGCGGGCCAGGCCACACATGCTCCGGCCGTGCATATCCTCACAAGAGACCAAGCCCCGGCCTCCATCTCCCCTCTTCATGTAGAGCCTGTTGACTGAGGCTTTGGGGTGGTGAAATCCAGACGCAGTCAAGGCTGATCTTGTCACTCGATCTGTGGTCTTTATTATTATTATTATTATTATTTAAATTTTGAATAGGGCAATCCCCACAGGCCTAAGGCCTTTTTACAGGGTACCCTATGTGATCACGTACAGATTTGCGGAATAGTGAAAGCGAGGGGCAAGAGCGAATGTCAGCTGGAAGATAATTCCAGCGGTCAGAAGCCAGAAAGCTCAACGCGAATAAGCCATAACGATTGCGTGCTTTAGGCAGAGCAAGTGAATCTATGGACTGGGAACGTGTACGGGCAGCTGTGTGTGTTGCGGCAGAACGAAGGCAGAAGCAATCAGAGAGCAGAGTGCTACACATGCCACGTAGGGCCCGAAAGACAAGAATAAACAGTTTAAGCTGATAGCGCAGTGCAATAGGAGCAAGGCCATATCTGGTGTGTAAGACTGAAACATCATAGTGCCAAGGGAAACCAAAAACAATCCTAACAGCGCGGTTAGCAATACGAGTTAGTCTATCATGTTGTGTGGTGTGAAGGCAGTGTACAAACGCATTAGAACCATACTCAAGGTGTTGAACAAAGAATTACATGTTCACCTCTCGATAGGTAGTCATCGGCGGATAATGCCGGCATAATTTTGAGCATAAGGCCACACTGAAAAAGGTCTGTGGTTCGACTCACCCGACCGACCGTACATTTTTCAGCCCGACCGTAACTTTTTTTTCGGCGGGCTGTCGTGTGACTGACGTACGCGTGGACTGAACACGTCCACGTCTTTTGTACGTGCTGTGCAGCGTGAGTCTGCGGACGCAGGCGGGACTCGAGACTTATTTTGAAGTGACCGTCCGGTTGAGAGTGATTGCCTCGTTCCAGATTAAAGGGGAAGTTAAGGCAAAAATTAAAATTTCACCAGTTGTAGTCTTCGGGGTGCTGAGTCGAATGGTCTTGGTCCGAGAAAGCTGAGACGCTCCCTTCCTACTTGAATCCCAATCGAACTCGCGCACTTCCACCGAAACTGGGTGACTGCGCCCTACTAGATGGGGATTTGTATGCAAAATGTCACTAAAAGCGCCATTTCGTTCTTATAAAAGCACGGATGACCGCGATTGGCCCATATGTTGTAGACTTTTGGACGCTGAGTCGACTGGTTTTGGTCCGAAAAGGCTGCGATACAGCGTTCCTCCTTTATTCCCAATCGAACATGCTTGAACAAGCGGTCAAGTGCTCCTGGGTGCCAAAATCACCTGGTCACCACGTGCACGCCAGCAGGCGACAACTTTCACACCAAGGTTCAACTCGAGTTCAACTCGAGTGACAGGACTGCACCCAAAAAAGGTCAAACAGGCTAGTAAGTTGTACCCTGCAGGCACGGTGACCAGGTGACTGACGTACGCAGGAGCACGTGACCGCTTGTTCAAGCATGTTCGATTGGGAATAAAGGAGGAACGCTGCATCGCAGCCTTTTCGGACCAAGACCAGTCGACGCAGCGTCCAAAAGACTACAACATATGAGCCAATCGCGGTCATCCGTGCTTTTATAAGAACGAAATGGCGCTTTTAGTGACATTTTGCATACAAATCCCCATCTAGTAGGACGCAGTCACCCAGTTTCGGTGGAAGTGCGCGAGTTCGATTGGGATTCAAGTAGGAAGGGAGCGTCTCAGCTTCCTCGGACCACAACCATTCGACTCAGCACCCCGAAGACTACAACTGGTGAAATTTTAATTTTTGCCTTAACTTCCCCTTTAAGGACGGCCTTCTGTTTTGGGACGAAGGACAGACGAGATTGCACTTTCCTCGTGTGGGAACGATATTTCACCTGTACCGGTAAGTTGCTGCTCCATGTGTGCAAGCACAGGAAGCGTCGATGAAAAAAGCCCATGTACTCGTGCACGCCGACACCAAACTAGCAATACATGTACCGGTACATTGTACAATTTGTACTTCGAAGTAATTCCCGAACTTACTTTTTATTTCTGCCACACAATGTTTCAAAGTATTAGCCAGTGATCCCTTTATACAACATGTATGGCATAACACTGCGTAATAATGCCGATGTACTGGGTGTCTAAAGGCAGTACAGTGTATTTACATGTACTAAAAAATATATTTTTAAAAAAAAATCCGCCCGCCCGCCTTTAAAATTATTATTAAATCAAAAATTTAATAATAATAATAATAATAATAAAAAAAATGTCCATGTTAGTCGAACCTCACACCTTCTTTAGTTTGGCCTAATCACGGCTTTCTGAAAAATAGCATTGCCGAACATATCCTTCAGCATAACTGCTGCATAAAGCCGCTAGGGCCTCAAAGGTCAAAAGTTCACCGTCCAGAGTCCGTTGTTTGTTACCAAGACAAGGGAAATCCTCCTTACCCATAGATCTACACCCGGGACTCGGTAGGGAGTCGTACCATACCACGGTATAATATTTCTGGCACGGCTATAGACTAGATCTTCTTCCATGCAGTTTTCTCCGGAAGTCCACATTAATTTTGATCCCGAGTACACATTCTATACATTTTAGTGGCATTATAAATTTATAATATAAACATGAAAGAGCACAGTGTCGACATGTCATGAAGCATAATTTGAGCATAATTTAGTGATTTTCAGAGCATATTGCCAGCATACTGAAAAGCATAATCCGTGTGATTTTCGAGCATTATCCGCCGACGTCTAGTCCCGGGATCCAACTGCAGTTACCCCTGCCCCCCCCCCCCCCCCCCCCCCCCGGTGAAGGTAATACTTGATAGATCTACTACTACTTCGAAGTAGTAGTGTGGGTGATAAGCTTCACTAGCACCATTTGATTACACCAGAGTTACGCACACGCACGCACACACACACGCACGCACACACACACACACACACACACACACACACACACACACACACACACACACACACACACACAACGTGACACAAGTAGCTTTGGCACTAGGCCTTTGCGGATAATGCCGGCAGACAAAATGGCAGAATTCGGTACTTTTTCTGGTAACTAACGGATGTTTGGTATGTGGATAAAGAAATGGAGCAGAATTCGAGGAATTGCCCGCCATAAGGCTTGTAAAGTTAGTTGTATGGTCACTGCTTTTCGAGCAGAATCTGCCACCTTTTCGAGCATCAAAATTGCCTAGTGCCTACGTACCTAGCCCTGACAGAGGCCACAGAGCAGAGCAGAGCTGGAGTGCAGTGGCACAGACAGCTACCGTCTACGAGGAAGTCAGCGATCAAAACACCACAACTAACCTGTTACACTGTACTTGGCACAAGCTCTAGCGCTAACGTTACTCGCTAGCGCGTTTTTGACGAGGATGATCACGTGCACTTGTGCCACCTTTGGAGTTTTCACGCAGGGATGTTCTGTTTTGAGTTTTGTGGTTGTTTTCTCATGCATGGGCAAGAAAGCAAAATATTCAAACAGTGAGGGTCGAATAAAATCAATTTCAGGGTGCAAGCAATGCATTTCGTTCCCCGTCCACGCATGCTAGATGGCTGAGCATGTGTCGGTGTCGGAGTATAGCCGTCGTATTCTCCGGGTTACCATAGCCAAGCTGTGTGAAGACATTGGTTGGCAGGCAATTGAATCAACAGCATTGAGTGTTCTGGTCGAAGTCTTGGAAAAGTACATTCTGTCGTTGGGAAGACGTGGGCATCTTTGGCAGGAGCATGGTAAGCCAAATGGGCCTATTTTGTGTAAGGAAGTACAACTGGTGATAGCAGTCAATAAATTGTTTCTTCAGACATTGAGTCCCGTATCCACTCCCTCAAACTATGAACAAAATTACAAATGTAGTTGGCAATATCTCATCGGGATGTTCATGTAGATGGCTAGGTTTCTTGCGGATCACATGAGTGGTACTCACCGGCTCTATGTGCATGTGAAGTCCCGAAGAATGCAGCCAAAGTATGGCCATATGCCATGTATTACATGGCACTCAACTCTCTCTCTCTCTCTCTCTCTCTCTCTCTCTCTCTCTCTCTCTCTCTCTCTCTCTCTCTCTCTCTCTCTCTCTCTCTCTCTCTCTCTCTCTCTCTCTCTCTCTCTCTCTCTCTCTCTCTCTCTCTCTCTCTCTCTCTCTCTCTCTCTCTCTCTCTCTCTCTCTCTCTCATCTGGTCAAGTTGACGCTGAATAGTGTCCATAACTCAATAGTCCCTAGCTCAGAACACTGTTCCTATGTGGACTGTGTGGACATGTGATATGCTCGATGCGACGACCGCCGCGAAACCGGGAAATGTCCGAAACGTACCCGTCTTGCTTCTTGTGACGCGAAATGCGATTTGTGACAGTTGCAACGAGAAAATGCCTGTCGCGAGCTGTCGCGTACGATCGCAAGGCACCTGTCACAGAAGTTGAAGAAAGTTCAACTTTTGCGATATGCGGCATACACAACTGGAGTGTGAGTGCAGTTTCTACTCTGAGTGCACGTGTATAGTACTACTAGTGCATAGGGATGTCTCAAACACCAAAAAGATTGTCAACCGTGTGTCGATGTCGTAGCTCGTCGCAACTCGCGTGCCGCGCCGCGAAACGTATTGTGAATCGGCCTTTAAAGGCTGGTTCATCTTTTGCGATGCGATGTGCGATTTTCACGTTCTTTGCAGCAAAGTTGTACGGACGAATCAAGAGTTGCTTGTAGCTTTGCAAACGTTGTACCTAGCTACGTGAATGCCATGGCGACATACATGTGCATCCCCGCAATGCGTTTCGATGCACATCAGCAAGGTGACGTCGCATCGCACTGCAGCATCACAGATCGCAGAGCACATTGCAGCGCCAAAATGCTACTGTGAGTCTCACTGTTTACAGTACCAGTATACATGCAGCAGTAGCAACACTTTTCACCAGTCTCAGAAAGGTGGTTGGACTACTTATTAGGGAGGGCTGAGTGTTCTGATCGTTGCCAATACACAGTGGGCTCAGACGCTGCACCTCATACGCTATGTAGCATGTCTTATGCGAATGTGTCTTGTCAGAAGATATTGAAAGCGTCCTGTCAAAAGACATTGAAAGTGTCCTGTCGGAAGACATTGAAAGTGTCCTGTCGGAAGATATTGAAAGTGCCCTGTCGCACGACATTGAAAGTGTCCTGTCGAAAGACATTGAAAGTGTCCTGTCCGTAGACATTTAAAGCGTCCTGTCGGAAGACATTGAAAGTGTCCTGTCGAACGACATTAAAAATGTCCTGTCAAACGACATTAAAAAGAGTCCTGTCAGAAGAGGTTGAAAGCATCCTGTCGAAAGATGTTGAAAGTGTCCTGTCAGAAGACGTCAGCTGTACTCGGTGTAGTCATCAGATGACAGGTTGACACAAATTGACATCTCATTCTTGAGATGACGGTCCAGTTTTTTCCTGCATTCACAATCAGTACTATATGCCGGTACCAGATACCGTATACAGTGTACTATAAAGCGTTGATGTAATCTGTATTGCAAGAAGTACATGATATAATGTCAATTTTGTAAACTATGATATTAGTAGGCTGTATAGCAATCACACACACGTACCCATATAGTATTATACACATGCATGTCCATGCACCCCCCCCCCCCCTCCTCACACACACATACACACACACACACACACACACACACACACGCACATGCATGCAAGCACACCACGTACACACTCATACACACACCATGTACCATGTATACGCCCGTCTCAAGAGAAGCACGCAAACCTGCAACTGCACTGGATGTGCACCCACAGATTTTCTCTTATAGCAACGATAGCGAACAAGATCTGAATGAGACAGATCAAGACTAGCGCCAGATAACTGTCTAATCCACACAACTGGCAAAACCATGTGAATCGACCACCATTGCACACCTGGTCTGCACCACACGGAGTACACCGGCATAAAACGGCCAAGACAGTTACCCATGCACACCCTACACTTGCTGGGGTAACACACACGCACACACACACACACACACACACACACACACACACACACACACACACACACACACACACACACACACAAACACACACACACACACGCACACACACACACACATATTGCATACAGGCATGTACTGATTCATCAGGCTACAGTCACGTGCGCCTAAATCTATCATGCTGCATCGATTTCATGCACTCCAAGTTTCCTGGACATCTCTAAGTCTGCAGTAGTCACATGTCCAACCCAATGTGTTCTGTGTGTTTCTGTTTTGCTGCAGCTATCTGCAGCCATGGTGACTTTGTCAACTTGGCTTCAGAGCTGCTTTACACAAATGCCAACTCGCTGAATGAAATCATCTTGTTCGCATCCAGTCGAGATTGCCCGAAGTTGCCTTTTCTGACAAAGTGCTTCGAAGAGAACTATGAACATCAGTCGGTGAGGCTCGGTAAGGATCACTTGAAGGCACTGTTCGGAAACTTGGACAGCGACACTGAGGAGGAGCAAGAGGAAAATGATGTCATCCAACCTGAGAACCCAGATGTTCAGCAGCAGGAGGAAGAAGTAGAGGAGAGAGAAAAAGGAGGAGGAGAAAGCTCACGTCACAGTGCAAGAGATGGAGGCGAAGAAGTGGTAGAAGAAGAAAAGGAGGAAGAGGAGGAGGAGGAGGAAGAAGATGAGCCCATGGAGGAAATCCTTCCAACACCTCCAGAGCCAGCAGATGCTGTATCACCACAGTCCAGCCCGGCATTACCTGCCACCGTAATGGAGGCGGAAGTTCTGCAGCCAGAAGTTTTACAACCCAAGGTTTTACAGACAGTAGTTCCGGAGATGAAGCTTAGGATACCAATTCCGCCCCTTGTCATAAAGCAGAAGCCCTCAGAGCCTTTGGATTTGGGAACATCAGCAAAGAAGCATAAGAAAGAAAAGAAGGAAAAGAAAGAGAAGAAAGAGAAGAAGAAGGAAAAGAAGGACAAAAAGGAAAAGAAAGTAAGTGAAATTTGCTGGATACAACCTTCATCTTCTATCTTTCGAGATGCAATGTTGTCCGACCCTTCTGCCGATCATGTTGTGTGTTGTGTGTGCGCGAGCGCGCGTGCGTGTGTGTGTGTGCATGTGTGTATGTGTGTGTGCTTGTGTGTGTATATGTGTGCACGTGTGTGTGTGCATGCATGCGCACGTGTGTGTGCATGCATGCGCACGTGTGTGTGCATGCATGCGTATGTGCGCGTGTGTGTGTGTGTGTGTTTGTGTCAGCTAGTTCGGTTGGTGGGTACACTTATGCCAGATAGTGTTGGGCCTGTTGCCAACGGGCTCGGCTGCTTGATGGTGTATTGTTGTACCTACCACCTTTGTTGGTTTCAGGGTTCATATACTTTTTTATTTGAAGTATACATACCTGTTAACCATGGACTGCTTCTGGCTAGATTAACTCTTGTGTAATCAATGGTGCTGGTGAAGCTTATATCAGATCCACTCTGATTTAGCCACCCACACTAGTACCAAGTATTACCTTCACTGGGGGCAGGGGTACCTGCAGTTGGATCCCGGGACGGATACCCTGATGTCGTCAATCCTTTTTCTGCACCTTGTCCTCACCCACTTACTGAGGTGTGGTGAGCCCATAAGTGGGATCATTTCAAGTCCACCCTAGTTTGGGGATTTCAGGGTGTGTCGGCCGTTGGGTGGTTCCATGGCCAATTGAGTCATCTTTCCAAGATTCCTTTTGAGTCTCTCTCCCCTCTCCCAGGGAGACCCACGTGACCAGTTTTGGCAGTGAGCAAGTACAAGTGTTGTGTGTGTGTGTGTGTGTGTGTGTGTGTGTGTGTGTGTGTGTGTGTGTGTGTGTGTGTGTGTGTGTGTGTGTGTGTGTGTGTGTGTGTGTGTGTGTGTGTGTGTGTGTGTGTGTGTGTGTGTGAACAATTGGGCCAGACTGTGCATCGATGATCTACCGGAAGAAACATGTGTTCATGCTCTTCCGTCTGCCGTATTTTCGATATCTGTTCTACCCCTGTCTACCAAGTAGCCGAAAACAATCACATCCAAAGCAATCACATCCATGTGCTCTCGTCGTGATGCTGCAATTGTATGCGCTGCAAAGGATGTTTCGAAGTCAATGTACACACAGAAGTGTCACATGCACTGATCATGTGCAGGATAGTGAATGGAAACTGGTGTCATGAGGAAGGTGTCGTCACCCTGAACCAGCGCTCATCCCAGTGTTTGCAGGTCTCGGGCCACCCAGCGCCCAGCGCTAAGTTGACTCACACCATTATATTTTGTCGAGCAGCGCTGGACATGGTAATAGGTATGGACTGAAGCACTAGGCTGCGCCTGGAACTTGAAAACAAATGGCATGGGGCCAACACCACCTCACTCTGCCGTTAAAACTAGTGTTGAAAGGATCTCACCGGTACTCGTTAGCTCACTCGCCAGAAATTCGGCTCGTTTGTGCGGCGAGCTCGTTTGCACCAACGAGCATCGTATACGATACAGCATGCACATTACAGTACAGTCAGTGCATCTAGTGAACTTTCCGTTCGAACGAAAGTCATGCTTAGTTGTTTTGGAATTTTTTCCGCAATGCAGCGAAGAGCAAGGCTACTTGCAATCTTTGGAAGAAAAAAAACCCAGTCTTTTCTTACAATGGCGGCTCAACGAAGGCGCAGAAAAGACATCTCGACACCAAACACCCATCCAAAGTGAAGCTAGGCGAAAGCAGGAGCAACCCCTGCCGGCGGTGAAATTCAAAGCAGCTGAATTAAAAAAATCACCTTTGCCACATCAGTGAAACTCGTTAACTCGCTCGATAGTGGAACTGTTCGCTCGTTTGTTATAGATACGAACACTAGTTAAAACTCCTTCATGTGGTACCCTAATTAGACACAAGTAGAACGTTTTCCTTGTGCACTTGGACACTGCAATGCTGTGTACTTCGAAGCACATCGTGTTCTTTCATTTCACTTTGTTACCAGTACAAACAATGCTACCTTCTCATCGAAGTATCAATATCCATGTTTTGTGCTTGCTCTGCATTCAGGGGGAGAAGGACAAGTCCAAATCATCAAAGTACGTACATGCACATTGGTGTCGGAAGGTATTTTGGTGTGGTACGGTCAGCCATCTGAAGTACAATTTACTCATGGGGAGTAGTGGCTGAGCTGAGAATTTTGGAAATTCCGAACCCAGATCAGTGTGTTTTATTGATTCACGGGGTGACTGGGGCAAAAAGTGGTGCGGTCAATACCGTAGTGACAGTAGCGTGTCCGACGTCCCTGATGCACTTGTAATGTGGTATTACTCGTGGCAGTTAGCATCATTCTTGCGCTGTGTTCATCCTTTCAGCATTGGTTTCCAACACTCCACGCTGTACCCTGGTTTGTTTAGGACTCGAGTGCATGCACAGTTGCATGTCAGTGTCTGGCACTCTCAGGACCAGAACGTGTTGGACTAATGAATATTCTGTACAAAGGCCGACGTGTATTCTCACATCAAAAGGACTGTAGCACATGACTTTACCCTGTGTGTTTTGATTCTCGTTTGCTTTGAGACGTTCATCATGCTCATCTGCATTTCTGTATAGACTGACCATACCCCAAAGTAGGACTGTGAACCCTAGATAACAGCAATGCCAGTATGCTGTTGAATAACCGACATGCCCGATAACTGAACGCCGCACAAGCGACATGCAGCAGCACTAATAGCTAGATTTCACAATGGCGTGAGCGGAGATATAGCACACTGCACCGCGCTGCACTCGTGGACGACCCAGAACATTGCAGATCACCGTCATTGCACTACATACTCGCCAGGCGGTCAACATGTGTGTTGTGTTTCCTCTTTCCTCTTGATCTGTCCAGGAAGAAGGGAGGTTTGCCAGGTGACACTGCGCCCTTGGGAGTTCCTGTTACTCATGCTGATATGGTACGTTCAGTGTTCTGAAAATCTTCATGACAAAACGAAAACGAACATGATCGGTTTCAGTACTTTTACATGTGGTCAACCTTGTGAATAACGGCCCTAGATTGGGCGTGTGAAAAGTGCTGTTATTCGTGACCTGTCGTTACACGTGAGGTTGAAAGCATGCAGTCTGATGGTTACTGGGTCTGAACCAGGGAGTCGTAAAGTACCAGGTATTTTACGACTCCCTGGTTTGAAGATAGTGTCGTCGTTGGCGGGATGCTGTTGTGCCTGAGGTTGTATTCCCGAGGTTGACTGTAGTATAAAGCTGTCTGGTGAGTCGTGCAATAACCCGTTCCTTAAAATTGCTGGTTGCCATGTCAATGCTCTATACAGCGGGATTAACAGAAGCTTTTTTTGCAATGCGACACGCGATGCGACAGCCACGAAACCGGGAAATCCCCAAATCGCAGCCATCTCGCACCCCGCACAACTGCCGCACTGGACCATCGCTAACTTGAGCTTGGCTCAACTTTTGCGGTTCGACAAGCGATTTGGCGTACGATTTCGACCTTTTCTACCGCAAAGTTGTACAAAGGTTCAAGAGTTGCCTGTAAATTTGTACAAGTTGTACCAAACCGCACGAATACCATGGTGACGCACCCAAATGCATTAAACTTCGCGCCAAATTAGCAAGGCGTTGTCGCATCGCTGACTTCTTCTGTGAATGGTATTTCGCGAGTTCGCATCGCACGACTCCATCGCAGATCACATCGCATCGCCCAGTGAACGTAAAATGTATTGTGACTTGACAGCGAGACTGGATCGATGTTCATGCTATCAATTTTTTTAAACGAAACTCCTCGACCAACCCACCAGGAACGAAAATGTTTCGTTTCGTGTAAAAGGTCGATAATCACGGACGGCCCCTAAGTTGATGTGTGTTTGCATTGCCCTCGCTCCCCACAGTACTAGTAATGTACTGCTGTGCTGCTGTGTGCTGCTTGACCAGGCGAATTTGACTAGGCCAGTTGTGGTGCCGGTGGTGACACAAGAAGCGACATCAGCCAAGGACGACGAGCAGGTCTACATATGCCCAGTGTGCAAACAGCCTGACGACGGCCTCCGCGCCATGGTCAGCTGCGAAGTGTGCTGCAGTGATGTCTGGTACCACATGTAAGCTTCCCATCCCTGATCCTCTCTATCTGTTGTTTCAGTAGTCGCTGCTACACTCCATTCATAAAATGGTGGACTTCTAGCTTTTGGCCATAAATGGGTCGAACTTTGAGTTTTTCAGAATTTTTTCTGCAAACCTATGGAATCCTCTTCCAATTGTGTGTCTGAAGTCTATTTCTCCAAAAAGCAAGCCCTAGGCAGCATCTGTGGTGTGACCTTTGTAGTGTGATTACTAATTACTACCTTTGACAAGCGAAACTTGGCGCGTTTTTTACTTCAAATTACTAGAAATAACTCACACTTTACAATCAAAACTAATGATTGACTCACGAAAATTCAACTAATTACTTTGTATTGCTCAACAAGGACATTAGAGACATCTGTTAGGCTGAATCACTCTCCTCTGATTCAGAGATCGCAGTTTCTTCTGGAGAGGAATTGTCCCTGTTTTGAGACGAAAGTGCGACTAGAGTGGATTCAGTTGCAGCAAGTACCTCTGTTGTAATCGCTCTGAAAATCTCGATGTCGCTCCTGTGTGCTGTGCTCGAGCCACGGTGTCGAGGGTAGTCGTTTCCGCCGCCACTATCCAGGTTGACGTGGTAAGAACTGTGCAACACATCCACAAGTGCCTGGACTCCAACTGTTTTGCCGGGTATTCTCGCCAACTGTCCAAATTGCCTGCAGCAATTCCTGGCGATTTTCCTTAGCCACCAGAGACGCATCGCTCTGGTGGCTATTGAAAGACACTAGGATTGTTTGGCATGGACGTATGAACTCTTTGCTGTCGGAGTGACCAAGTGGAGAGAGAGAGAGAACTCCTTGGTTTTGCATTGCAACGCGAAAGCACGACGATTCTCCTTCGCAGAATGGACGCGCGCACTGTTTTGCTGGTACACGAGAGACTGGCTTGCCTCTGACTAAGTCTGAGCCATGTGCCACTCACCAGCTCGTCGCTTGGCTTCCTGCACTCGGTTGCATGGAGCTACAAGTGCGTAGGTCGTACCTCACAGCCTTGTGAAGTTGTGGTACCAACACAAAAAATCAAAAAAAACGCCAAGTTTCGCTTGTCGGGGGTAGTAGGGTCATGTGTTTTTGGGAAATGTGTGCCACTCTATGGCAGATAAGATGTTGCAGTCAGTCTGTGTTGATGCAGCATCTCTGTGCCATGTATCTTTGTATCTGTACTGCAGGGACTGCGTGGGCTATGATCCGGCCTGTGGCCTCGACTGGCTCTGCCCAAGCTGTACAGCCAAGAGTCGAAACCGGTAGCACCCCCTCCCCCCCCCCCCTCTCTCTCTCTCTCCTCTTGACTTCAGGCATCCCCATCTCTCGTATGTGAGCACATTTCTTGTACTGGTTTATACAGCTAATACTTTTACAGTTTGCGATAGCGTATTTCACACCTGCAGCACTCCCTACAGGAGCGCTCTCGTTTCAGAACCCCCCCTAATCTAATGGACTATTCACCGGCAGGCACCCAAGGTCCATTTTGAATTTCATGAACATAAAACTTGCTCGTTTGTTGATCTACATGATCCCTTTCCCTCCATTTCCCGCTTCATTGGTAGTTTGGATAAGTACGTACATGTGCTGCGTTTGTGTTGTCCTCTCTTCCACTGAAAAATAGCCTGCGCTTCGATAAACTTGAAAGTGATACACCCATCGATCCCATCCGCCCGACATGAAACGCATGCACGCATGCTTCCGCCCATATAACATACCATTCAATGATGATCTTATACACCTATCCTAACCACTCGCTTTCTGATTCACAATGAATCTGCTCTACTGCTTGCTCTTTTCTTTTGTTTTTACGCAACTACTGACTCATTGGCTTCCCTCAGATTTCTGCCAGAGAGCCAGTACATGTACTGATGCCCGTTATCACATTTCTTTGATTTTGTGTATCAGTGATTGCTCCCAGGCCTCGTGACCTTTGTCCGTTACTAGAAATTGAACCATTCCTACAATTGTAGTTGCCATTACTACAGGTCTATCCTCGGTCTGGTTGGTACTACATTGGTTGGTCATAAGACAAACCTCGTTAGTGTAACAAGAAGGATCCACGGGTGTGTGCGATCCCCGGTAGCCTAATCGGTAGGGCACGGCGGAAAGACAGGGGTGCTGGGCTCAAATCCCGCTCGCGGATCCTTCTGTTGCATCATTGGCGCCCAACGTTGGGCTCGAACCCACGGCCCTGAGATTAAAAGAGCTTTTGCAACATTTTAGACTTAAAATTAGTAGACAACGATGCCGTGCCAACCAGGGTAGCTGTAGACCTGTAGCAATGTACGCATTATTGTGTGTGGAGATGGGCGCACACGTGTATATGTTTTAATATCGCAAATTCCTCCGTTTCCCCAAGCTACATGTATGTCTTCGTATCCAAAAATTCTCCATTAGTGAAAGGGTAGCTCTGAAATCGGCCTGATTTCGACCTTGGATAATCATGCCTGATGTACACCATGCACACATTGTTCACGCTGAGAGCTCCACAGTGCTGGATCTAGATTTCAATTCCGCAATTTGAGACTCGGCCACGGCACTGATCCCCGACCACCACCCCTATCGTCTTCTTGTTCTTATAGCCAGACCACCGTGAAAAGAATGAGACTAAGTTGGGCATGATTAGACCTTTGATGGTTTTCCCTGACAGCGGGCTTTCAAGCCATCGGATGGTTTTCCCGTGCCAGTTGCCCCTAACAGCGGGCTTTGATTCCGGGGAAATCAAGGTTGCTGATAAATAAAATTATCAGTGGCCGGAATCTAGTAAAGGGCACGTGGGTCGTTTGAAGCTATTTTCTCTGCCACAGTTCAAAGTTATTCTCTAGCATGCATGGACACCAGCAGGGAGTCGTCAAATACCGGTATTTGACGACTCCCAATATTTGACGACTCCCTGGACACCAGGCATGATATCCGTATGGGCCTGGGGAAGAGTATATGAAAACCTTTTTTATTTTATTTATTACAGCATCTCATAGCACAGTGAGAACACCGGCCAATGCAAAGAGAGAGGGTGTTAGCCGACCACGGCAAGGAAGGGAGAAGGTTTTTCATGTACTCTTGGCCTGGGGGATACTTTTGTTGTACTATGGTACAATTATGGCTACTGTAAATTGTTGCCTGATGATTGCAAAAGCATGAAACTTTAAAGGGGAAGTATACCCTAAAATCAAATTTTCACCAGTTGTAGTCTTCGGGGTGCTGAGTCGAATGGTCTTGGTCCGAGGAAGCTGAGACGCTCCCTTCCTACTTGAATCCCAATCGAACTCGCGCACTTCCACCGAAACTGGGTGACTGCGCCCTACTAGATGGGGATTTGTATGCAAAATGTCACTAAAAGCGCCATTTCGTTCTTATAAAAGCACGGATGACCGCGATTGGCCCATATGTTGTAGTCTTTTGGACGCTGAGTCGACTGGTTTTGGTCCGAAAAGGCTGCGATGCAGCGTTCGGCCCTTATTCCCAATCGAACATGGTTGAACAAGCGGTCACGTGCTCCTGCGTACACCAGTCAGCTGGTCACCGTGCCTGCAGGGTACAACTTACTAGCCTGTTTGACCTTTTTTGGGTGCAGTCCTGTCACTCGAGTTGAACTCGAGTTGAACCTTGGTGTGAAAGTTGTCGCCTGCTGGCGCGGTGACCAGGTGATTTGGGCACCCAGGAGCACGTGACCACTTGTTCAACCATGTTCGATTGGGAATAAAGGAGGAACGCTGCATCGCAGCCTTTTCGGACCAAAACCAGTCGACTCAGCGTCCAAAAGACTACAACATATGGGCCAATCGCGGTCATCCGTGCTTTTATAAGAACGAAATGGCGCTTTTAGTGACATTTTGCATACAAATCCCCATCTAGTAGGGCGCAGTCACCCAGTTTCGGTGGAAGTGCGCGAGTTCGATTGGGATTCAAGTAGGAAGGGAGCGTCGCAGCTTCCTCGGACCACGACCATTCGACTCAGCACCCAGAAGACTACAACTGGTGAAAATTTGATTTTAGGGTATACTTCCCCTTTAAGTAGCGACAAACCAGCCTTAATTGCACGCATTTGGCCGATGAGAAGCTTTGACCGATCTCGAAATGAAACTTTGGCCGATTCATTGCTACATGTAGTACGAAACCGCAATCATTTCCGATTCTCAAGGCCCCATATGATACATACAACATTCAACAGGGGGGGGGGGGGGGGGTACTACCCGGGTAGATCTTCTTCAAATCTATGGATTATACAGTACCAAGAGTCATGTACATGAAAACCGGGTTTTCATGTACTCTTGATTATACGTACCATCAAGAGTCCATAATAAGTTATGGACTCTTGATACCATCAAGAGTACATAACCTGGGGTCAGGGAGTCGTCAAATGTATTTGACGACTCCCTGCCTGGGGTTATCATGGTTATGTACTCTTGATACCATCAAGAGTCCATAAACTCTTGTACTTGTAGTCTTGATACCATGGCTACATTATACATGTAGCTATAGCTACAGTCTGTGCCAGGGAGTCGTAAAATTATTACTAATATTAGGTGAACTGTGATTGTGTGCATCTAGCTGTGAGACTGTGGCCTGGGTCTGAGAACGAAAATGGCGTCAAAAAGCATTCGCGATCGCCTGACCCGGCACGTTTTTTTTTATGTAGGTTGCTCAAAAAATCTGAGCTGAGGCTAGGCCGAGCTGCGGCATGGCATGGCAAAGCATGCATCCAGCGTTGTAGCTGTTTTGGTTCGTTCGGATTGTTTAGGATCCATGTGTTTTACTCGAAGCTTGCAGTTTCTTGAAGTCAGTATTACAACGAGGTACTGATCTGGTGCGATCATTCTAGTGATGCCCTGGCTTGGCGAGCAATGGAGAACGCCACAGTAAAATGACAATGACCACTTCCACACGCACTTCTTCCTTCAAAAAATTGCGCACAACAACTGCGCCACCAGCAATAGTCAGCAAAGACTCGTCTGAGGAAAATTACTGGAGAAAGTTCCAGGTGAGTTGGTTTAGAAACAAATTTAGAGCAGAACAGAGAAATCCATTTACCTTTCACATCATTGCTGCTTTTCTCCTTCAAAATCTTCTTTGTTGATTTACTACGAAACGAATGAATAATGAAATAGACAACAAATTTATAATTGGCAATCAAGAGAACAAGCTGAATCGACATGTCAATACTTTATTCGTGCAGGGGCAAGTGATGGGATAATATGCAACGGAACAAAGACAGGATCGTTGGCACTGCTACACATATTAAAACACATGTCCAAACTTGTTCGAAACTTTCTCTTTTTTGTTGTTCTCACTATTTAATCCTCTCACGTTTTTGTTATTGCGCATTGTTCCATCACTTGGCCCTGCACGAATTAAAGTATTGGCATGTCAGCAGATCTCATTCTGACACATCCTTCTTCCGCAAAAGAGTGCACTGAAGCAATACTTCCATTCACAAGCACACCCAGTAGGAGCTGAGCTCATGAGGTCAAGACCAGTTGTGAAGTAACATACAGTGAAATCTATCTAAGACGACCACTCAAGGGACGAGAAAAAGTGGTCGCCTTGGACTGGTGGTCTTCAGTGAGTCACGTAACCATATCCACTTCATAATACATGTGATATATCATTTTGATCAGTGTATCATACTGCGCACACCTATGCTACTCTAGCACGACTCATGTGCCTGGGGTCCTCAGACCTGAAAAGTGTCGTGCATGCACCATGTACATATACACTTCCGGCGCTGATGTGTAGATCTACCATGCATGGTGCACCATGCAATGCGTACATTTACATTGTACTAGCAGGGTGCAACGCGGTCGCGGGTGGGTGGTTGTCGGTCGCGTTGAGCGAGTGGTCGCCTTATCCGAGCTGTTTTGAATGTGAATGCGTCCGTGGCAAGGAAAAGTGGTCGCCATATCTGAGTGGTCGCCATATCCAAGTGGTCGCCATATCCGAGTGGTCGCCATATCCGAGTGGTCGCCATATCCGAGTGGTCGCCATATCCGAGTGGTCGCCATATCCGAGTGGTCGCCATTACAGGTTTTTACTGTAGTTCAGGTGACTGCCACGAAAAGAAAACAATTTTTCAACATTAGCCTGCCAGCACCTGGCTGCAAGGTGCCCGGGTGTGGTGGTGTCCGGACATGGGAGGTCCGGATAAAAGAGGTTCTACTGTACATGCATACATGTAATGGCTTTGTTATGATGAAGTCTCGGATAAGACCATCAGAGATCAAGCTCCAATCGGTCAAAAATCTCCTAAGACAAACATTTTAGACATTGGCCTTTGGAATTCAATTTAACACATGTTTTTTTTTAACAATTTAGGCGATACATGGGGCGGCGGGTGTTTCGTTATAGCCACCTACGTTCAAGGGGCGAGCTCAGGATTTTCGATTGTGACAGAGACCTTTGAACAACGTTGCCTAGAATTAAGATTCAAGATTCTGCCGAACTAAATCATACGAATAGTGTAACTTTGCAACATGTTCCTTCGTAAAAGAATCGGGCGTTTCCGGAAATGAGTCAGCAGGCGGAGGACGCGAAATATCGAGAGGCATGTGTGCTTCGCGACCAAACATTAAAGCATACGGCGTAAAACCTGTAGATGCATGAACACTCGTATTGTGCTTGTATACTTTCACTTCAATCATTTATTCACATTGCTGGTGTTACAATGTTTCACATTCAACAACAGTGTAAAATAAATTTGTAAATAGCGTCTATCGTATGATGTGGACATTTTGTTCTTGTGTTCTGTCTCCAGTACCCGGTTACTGTCAAGGAACATGCCGCCATTAGCTGTGTGGACTTCAGCCCCACAGAACCGCACGATTTTGCGGTTACAAGTGCAACACGGGTAGGCAGGCGGCTTTTATATCGCATGTTCTTGCATTATCAGATAGGTGTGTGTGTGTGTGTGTGTGTGTGTGTGTTTGCGCACATGGTGTGCACGCGTGTGCGTGTGTGCGCGCGCGCGCGTGTGTGTGTGTGTGTGTCTCTCTCTCTCTCTACCTACCCACCCACCTACCTACCTGTGTGTCTGTCTATCTACTCCAGTGAAGTTCGCTTGGGCCTACATGTAGTTGAAATTCTGGCTTGGAGAAATATTACTTTTTCATTGCCACCAAGTTCAGCCTCCTTTGTTGGTGTTGTGCCAATGATTTCCAAAGGACAGCCACCTCTCTACAGATTGCTAACCTGTCATTCCTTGATAGGCGATCAGCCTTTGGGTCATCCTAATGAAGATGTTATTATTATTACTTCCTCCGCGTCATCGAAATTGTCGCAGTTTGACTTTTGATATAAAACGGGTTTTTTACTCACCAGCACTCGTACCAGAGGCAAGGAATCGGACATAGGCGACGGTCATCAGTATAGGGTGACGGCAAAGTTCTATTTTCTGTTATTGGAAGCTGGAATTTTTGAACTAGACGCAATTTCTTCGCTGATGTCGCTGCGATGGTAATTTCAACTCGCTGAGATCAGTCAGGCGTTGCAGCCTGCACATTTCTCGTGCTTATGGCCATTCACTCAAGCCTCATCACTGTTTTACCTTAGCTGGGGTGAGAATGACTTCGTGGAACAAGTGGCAGCGCTTGGAGAAACATCGAGGGGTCAGCAAACTAAATGCTTTCACCAGCGATAAAATTTGTCGCTCTGGCCGAGACACTCAGTACATGATTGTACCTGCAAGAGCCGTGTAGACTCTACACGTAGTGCTAGTGTCTGTACTAGTGATGCACACGCAGGTGCCGTACCATGATACCAGTGAATCAGGGCCGGGCCGGCAGTGATGCTGAAAAAGAGTGCGCGCTGGACGTGATAGTACACTTACCTGCATGAGCTGTGACCACACAGCTAAAATAAATGGGCATGCCGCGGCTAAAAAAAGTTCATTTCAAGATCGAGGTGATTCCGCCGACGGTAATCAACCGACCTCGCAACGATCGTGTATTCTTACTAGGCTTCGTTGGTGGTGAAGTAGAAATCATCCAGAGCTAGCAGACGACAAGCATAGCAGCTCTTGTCCTGTGGAGAAAGTCAAAGCGTTTGAGATGAGGCGCGACCAACTTTCAACCTTCCTTGAAATATTTCGGAACGATATTTTTGCGTCCATTGACATCAGCGACGACGAGGACTTCATCTCTGCATGAAAACTCTCAGTCCAACTGTCCTGGAACGTTACTCTAGTCTTCAGACTATCATACTGTGTAATAAGTTTTGAACAGCTTAGCTTATGGAGTTGTCAGTAACAAGTGACAAGTCACTAGTCAAACTGCGACAATTTCGATGACGCGGAGGAAGTATTATTATTGAATGTAGAACCTGCCCTGTTGCTAACCATACTCCATGTGTGCATGTGTGTGCGTGTGTGTGTGTGTGTGCATGCATGCATGCATGTGTGTGTGTGGTGTGCGTGTATTTTCTCTGCCCACTTCAGGTTCAAGTGTATAGCTCTGCTACCAATCAGGTGAAAAGGAGCATAACTCGCTTCAGGGAAACTGTGTACTCGGCAAAATTTCGGCATGATGGCCAATTGTTGGCTGGCGGTGGCGAGGAGGGCATCGTCAAGGTAGTCTTGTATTCCTTTTGTTGCTGTTTTGTCACCTTTGCTGAAAGGCATCGAAACTTTCATTAATGATTGTCTTCACTGTGGGTGTGGGGTGTGCGTGTTCCTTTAAACAATCTACAGTCTAGTTCAATTCATATGGATCACCACCACCAACACCACCACCACCACCACCACACTAGCCACTGCTGTGTTCCTGTTCTCATCATATCGAATGTGTGTGTGTACTATCTGTGGCTGCAGGTCTTCAATTTGACCAGTCGTGCTATCCTCCGTCAATGTGAAGGTCATACAAAGTAAGAAGAAGGATACAGGATCTTGTGCATGCCACTAAGAACTTCCTGGTTCAGGTCACTACTAGTAGAATCATTGTTTGCTCATTCAAGTACACGTTGCTAGGTAGCTTCTTATTGTTAATGCAATATTCTTGTTCTCTTTTTGCCGCATGTTCCTCCAGGGCAATTCGTCAGACATGTTTCACAACCTGCGGCCTCAAGATTTTATCAACAGCTGACGATCGCACACTCCGCAGCTGGGACCTGACTACTGGCGAGGCACTGCAGGAGTTCACTGGTCATGAGGCAAGTGGCACATAACGTATACTGGTTGCGACCTCGTGGTTCTTTAAAAGAATGGGACACTTTGAAAACCTGATTTTGGCGGAAGGGGGGGGGGGGGGGGGGGGGGCTCGAAAGTCGAAACCCGACTTACCCCTTTGGAGCTGATCGTTCGAATTCGAACGATGCCAATGTCATGTGTGCAAGTGCACTCAACGAGTCACGACTCAGTCAAATCTCAACCAAATTCAACAATTGAAATACCTACGAGGTAGCAGAGAATCTAAGCTGTCGGCTCGAAAAACTCCGGGGTCGATACGAGCTAGTATAACAGGGCGGCGAGTGCTCGAACGTTCGCTCGATTTCTCATGCGTCAGCGAAGTGCAAATTTCGTTCAAAAGTGGGATTTTCCCTCTTCCTGGCCACGCAGCGTGTGACATCACTCCCAGCGCTTTTTGTCACGGCTTTTGTGAGTCTGTTAGAAAAAATTGAATGATTTTGAGCTAGCACGAGTGAAATGGCAAGACAATGACTATTCCCGTTTTGGATTTGGTATTCAGCTGGCGTTCCTGGCATTCAGTAGCAGACAGCAATCGCTCTCCTGAATGAGTTTGGGCTCGCTGTTATCCTCGTTCCAAGAGCTTTCCAACGAGCCCAAGATCGTCAAAATCGGTGAAGTAGAACCAGCGTTATGATGGAAATTGGAACGAATATACTTGAAATTGCAGCTATCTCCTGACGTCGTGTGATCAGTGCAGTTCCAAAGGGAACTGGTGAAGAAACATGGGGAAGAGACAACCACGTTTGGGCCATTGTCTGTTGATTGCAAGGCAATTGCTCTTTGGTGCCACCTGTGTGGAATTATGTGCTACTGTTACCATGGTTTCAAAGACCACCTGCATCGAAATATCTCGACAGACCGGGCCCCATAGGTGGTCAATAAAGCCAGTTTTGCTTGTAACTGCTGTGGCGCCTATGGGTGGTTATAAGTGTGAGTTAAACTGAATTTATTCCGTCTGTATCACTAGTGTTACCCCTTTCTCCTCTGTGCTTTCAGTGGATATCTTCATGCTCCCTGTGGACACGTGGTGATTTGCACTGATTGAAAGAGGCAGACAAAAAGCCCTGGCAAGCCTTTTGCAGCTGTGTGTTTTGCATTCCTGTGAACACTTGGCTAGCCTTGGCGTGCCACATGCACCCCCCCCCCCCCCCCCCCCCCCCCCGGTGTTAATTGCCCGTTTTTTTTACTTGTGCATGCGCTTTTGAGACCTTTTTTCCCTAGGATGGCTCGATGTTACACTAGGCAAGTAAATGGGGGTCCAGTCCGTTTATCTGATGCTTTCTTGTCGATTTGAATCTTCTTTTTGTCTGCTTGTTTTATGCAGGACTATGTACGCGCCCTTGCGGTCAGCCCGGGTAGCTCTGACGTGTGCGTTACAGGTATGTTTTAGGGGCCGTCGCGATAATTGAAATGCACATCTTGCAGTTGGTGCGGTATCCCCATTCCGCCCACACCAAGTGAATGCCAACGTGCACCCTGGGCAACGTATTTCTTCAGAATATGTTCACCAGCCCCCGAATTTGTTGTTGTGTTGTCCAAGCAGTGATATTTTGCCACAGCGCTTTACAAAGGCTTGTGTATTTTTTACACTCTAGTTTTAGACTTGCTTCAATCATAGGGAGTAGATTGCGAAAGCATTTCATGAAAACTACTGTTCTGCACATCAAGAATTGTCCAGGAGCACCCAATGAGCTGCCATGCGCTCTTCATCCCTTCCATTTCTTGTGTCATGGTCTGTGTTCAGGCTCATACGATCACACCGTGAGGCTATGGGATATGCGTTCATCTCCAAGCTCCGGCGCCTCGCTGACCATGAACCATGGTTTCCCCGTCGAAGCTGTCCTCATGTTCCCGTCGGCCAGTATATGCGTATCAGCAGGTGAGGCTTTTTGTGCTAAACACCTCCTTGTGTCCTGGCGTTACTCTTTATTCATTGGGAGTACAGCAAAAAATGCATTTAGCTATGCCAGACGGCAAACGTGACAAACGCTAAACGTTAAGAGTGCGCCTGGGTACCTTGTATCTGCTGAGCAAGGGTAGTGCATCGCTTTGTTCTCGTATCGGTCCAGAATATTGCTATGCAGGAGCACCCACGCCACGTCTAGCGTTCTTCTACTGTTGTGAACTTCTCATACTATAAAAGCCATAATTATAACGAAGTGCTAACTCTAACGAGTTGACGAGGAGAAATCTGTCGTTAAAATATGAATCGTTATACAGAAATCGATACATATACTGGCCTATTGAGCGTTGAGAATGCGTGAGAATCTTTACCTTTGGTACACGTAAACCAGTCAATTTTGGGAAATGGTTATATATGCGCCAGAGTTAGAATAATGGCTGGTTTACAGTAGTTATTGTCCATGTGTGTGGCGTACCGTGCACGTTGCAGTGGGAGAATGAATAATTCCTGTGTTCTGTATCGTATGCGATGTGTGTGGGTGGGTGCGTGCGTGCGTACGTGTGTGCGTATGGATGTGCAGGTCATAATCAGGTGTGTGTCTGGGACATCCTGTCCGGCGGCCGACAGCTCTTCTCGTTCTCAAACCACCAGAAGACCATCACCTCGCTGGCGTTTGACGGCGAAGCACGGCGCCTCATGTCCGGCGGTGCTGATCGCCAGCTGAAGGTGTACGACGTTACTGACTACTCAGTCATCCATGGCCTCAGCTATCCCTCGCCTATCTTCAGCATTGGTTTATCGGTAAGAACATGCACCGGATGTCTGAATATCCTGCTGTGGTGGTATACATATGTAGGACTCAGACAGCAGTCACCGTCCCCAAAGTCAGTTATATAGTCAAAATCACTAACACCCCAGTCACAGTTTGCGTCTTTTGAGAAACCAGTTGTGGTGCCCACAAACCAGTCACAGAATGCCGCGACTTGCCCTCTTTGCGATCACACGTGCACAGAGTCGGAATACATGCATGTATGGCGTGCAAGTAGTACTGCTTTATGTGTCCAATTATTATTTCGAATTATTGTGTCCGATTCGATATCAATATTTTCTTCATCTACTCACATCCAGCGTAAGGTAAGTGAAAGAGAAGACAAGAAGCAGTCGCTGGCTGGTGAATTACGCCTGCCGTGACGATTTTAGGCCATCGCTGCCCTCCCTCTCGCTCCTGTTTGGAGAGCGAATACTGCGATGGGATCAGCGATACAAATTTGCAATTTCGAGTCGCATTCCGTGCCGACATCGCCACAGCCGATCTCTCCAAGCGTCCACCACATCTAGAAGACGTCGACATTACCTGGAACAAGCTACATCTTCCCTACAAGCAGCGAAACTGAGTGAGAACATGATCGAAATAGGGAAAATTGTTTGCGCTGAAAAGCGTACTTTGAACGCGTTCGTTCTCCATACTTTCAAATGGCGACCTACCCATGTCATACATCAGCGCTGAAAAGCATACTTTTGAACGCGTTTGTTCTCCTTACTTTCAAATGGCAACCTACCCATGTCATACATCAAAGCTGGTGACTTGTTTTTGGCTCTCTGTGACTTGTTTGTGACTGGTGACTGGTATTAGAGGATTTGTGACTGTATGACTGGTATTAGGGGCAGTGACTGCTATGAGAGCCCTGACTGCTGTCAGAGTCCTACACATATATACATGTAACATGTAGCACATAATATGTACATGTATGTGTTAGAAAAGAAAGAAGACAAAGTCACTAAACAGCCCCTGAGGTTTCAGTGATGACCGTTGGCAGCACATGTCGTGGTCTTTGCTGATTGTAGGGGGCTAACAGTAAGTTACTGCCACGCGTTAGCCGTGGAAGCACTGAGCACCATGCTGCTGCCTTCACTAATTTCTGGTTGGTGACAGGCTAGTCACGGTGCACAACAAGCACAACAGACACACGGACTCGCACAGTGGCATCCCTAGCCTTACCTGTTGCTTGTCAAGATAATCCAACTCGTGTGTAGTCTGCAGTGCGTTACGTATGTTATGGTGGTTTAAGTGAAGTCTCGCCATCCCGTACCCATAGTGTGCACGGGTTGTGACACATATGTACAGTGAGTGGCCGAAACATAACATGCATGCAGTGATGTGTAGCAATAGCTGTTGTTGCTGATGTGATACGTCTCTCTGTTTAGCAGAGCTGGGCACTAGTGTAAGCAATCATGTACGTTAGAGAAACCCAGTTATTCTGTGAAGATGCTGCTGTTGTGTTGTTGTCAAGGAATACATTATGGATGATTCACTATACCGTTGCTGTTGCTGCTGCTGCTGTGTATGCTCTCTTGTTCCTCAGCCCAATGAAAGTCACCTTGTAGTCGGTATGGCAGATGGAACATTGTCCATCAAGCGAAAAGTGGTGAAGGGCGGGGAGGACACTGAAGAGAAGGATGGCCCAACACTTCCAAAGCCACCACCTCATGTCGGCACAAAGCGCTTTTTCAATAGATCCAAGACTCAGCCGGAAGAGGTATGTTTGCACTCCGTACCTCAGTAGCCAGCTCTCTCATGTCACTGTTGTTGTCTAGTTTGTGCTGTGGTACATTGTGCCTTTCTTTCACTTAGCCCCTGAGGTTTCAGTGATGACCGATAGCAGTACATGCCGTGGTCTTTGCTGATTGTAGGGGGCTAACAGTAAGCTGCTGCCACGCGTGAAAACGTGGTGGCGCTGAGCTTCATTCTGCTGCCTTCACTAGTTCTTGATTGGTGCCGGGCTAGTCACGGGGCTCAACAAACGCGCCCATGCGCTGTAAGCATGAGCTTGAATGTGTGCCTGTTTCAGTGCTGAGCATTGCTCTGGTCATTGTTGGCTGGATGAGGAAGGATTCACATTGAATATGCATGTATCCAGTATTACTACTCTAACTGGTATTATGTGTCCACATGTGCTTGTGTGCATTTTCTTTCACAGGGCGATGTGGTTGTCAATCAGTCCCGGACAATGTACCAGCTCAAACCGTACGAGGTGCAGCTGAAGAAGTTCCGTTACATGGATGCTCTTGATGCAGCAATGAAGGTCGGTCTGCCCGTCTATGCACATTCTGGCGCTTATCAGCATTCGCTCCCATCGTTATATTCTACTGAAGTGGAGTGATGTTGGTGTGCTGCAAAGCATGTATGTGTGTGTGTGGGGGGGGGGGGGTGCTTTCGGAGAGGATTGAGCAAGCCGCATAATGGAAACTGTTTGAGATAATAGAGAGGTTCCGCATAACGTAATTACGTTAGTAAAAAACGTAGTCTATCTACGGAAAGTCTTACGTAAACTGCATGCGCATCTGGGTTCCGCCATACGGAGTTTTCAAATCACGTAGCTGCCCTTGGCAACTCCGAATGCAGTAGTGTCCGACCAGATCGACCTGGGGAGAGAGTCATAAATTTGTACCCAATCCACTTACGGACCAGCTACGTTATCAGAGCCCTATCTACGTACTCTCCGTAGACAACTTTCCGTAAGTGGAGTGCAAACTCGCGAATTCACGGGTTTTTCCCGCCCACTAACGTAAAGTTGCTAAACTTTACGTAGTGCGGAACCTCTCTAATATTTGTTCTGGATGGGATAGAAAATGGTAGGAGATCGAGCTGCCAGCTCTTTTGCTGCGTACGCCTGGCGAGGCGCCGAATGCATGACTTAAATGCTTGTAAGAATGACTCGTGTATTTTGTTTCCGCATGGTTGTGTGTGTGTGTGTGTGTGTTTTGCTATAACACGTTATGTGTGCGTTCATCTTCTGTAGACCGGCAATTGCGATGTGATCGCTGGTATGTTCCAAGAGCTCATCCATCGCGATGGCCTGTCTAACTCGCTGGCAGGGAGGAATCACAAGTCTCTCATTCCCATCATGAAGTTTCTTGTCCAGTAAGTACATGTTCATGTACAGTGAAACTCATTAAATTTTTGTTTGAATTCGGATAAGGCATATACCTGGCTATTATGTACATAGTTGATAGCACCGATTTATCTCCCAAACAGCACATACATACAGTTTTGTGTACTGTGACCGCGGGGATTCTATCTGCTATGCCGTACTTCCGGCATATGACCTACTGTTTTTGCTGGTCCCACCAAAGGGTAGCCTCAGGCAACACGTGTTTCCTCTTGCTTCTGCATTAAATCCACCTGTCCAGTGGTTGTCAAAAAGCTAGCTCTCCAGCTGCTCAGCGTGCAGCGCCGTGAGGAACTGGGATGTTAGTGGAGCTGTGACCGACTCCACCACTATCCTACGGGCATACACTGTGGCACAGTTGTACATGTACTGCTTAAAAATTATTTGAGCCTGGTTTGAGGCCCGTCTTAGTCCATCCCATTATGCCTGCCTACCATAGTTGAGAAACAGAGGGTGCCAGATTCTAATCTTGCTTGGAAGCGGGAGGATTTTCCAGCCGTGCTGCGACCCACAGTTGTTTGGGTGCTCGCGGCCTGGCACAAGGGAAACATGGATGAAGAATGGGATTTTCGGTCTTTGACTACTTGATGGCGGGTGTGGTGCACTCACCTCCCACCCATTTAGGAGCTGCATCTGCACCTTGCTCCATCCTTGGGGGTTGATGGTGGTGGCGTTCCTACGGATGCGGAAAACTCCATCTAACCAAGTCTACGCGGACCATGATTTTTTTGGGCCCATGAGGCTAACCTGTCATACGAAGTAACGCGGGGATGCGAAGTACATTTTTCCATTCCCGCTGGAGTAGTACATTTTTTCCATTCCCGCTGGAGTAGGTGATATCAGTACTTCACCGTATGACAATAGGTTTCTATAATGAAGAACAAAATCCGAGGCGAGGCCGAGATTTTTATCACAGGTTCTAAATTAGTAGCCATAAACCAGAGTTCGAGACCTTTAACCCATTGAGGGCTACAGGGCCTTTCATCTGAGACTCTGAAGAAAATGCTAAAAATATGGCCAATGTACAGCTCCACAACTTCATAGTCTAAGAAACTAGGTTGTTGAACTCTTGTGAAATGTTGACCAAGGCTATAATCATCACGCTGACCAACTCGATATAGTTCCTAGAAAGGGGAACAAAATGCTATATGACACGTAAGTTCATCCAAATTGCGTAAAATACGAAAAAGTCGGCAATTTGAGTTGAATCACCGGACGAAAAAGAAGAAGAAAAAGTATCCAAGCGGGATTCGTACCCGCAACCTCTCGTACTGAATGCCGGAAATGTACCGCTTGACTCTGGGGTGTCTTGCAACCCTAAGCTGGAACACGGAGCTTAGTACGGTAGGATAGCCTGTCAGCCCGAGTATTCGGGCTCAGCGCCCTGACGTCATCCTGAATCCCGAATATATTCGGGCTCAGCAGTCAATGGGTTAAACAAAAGCAAGCACAACTCAGAGGATTGACGAACCGGAATTGCACTGAACAAAGCCTTGTGATTTGTGGTCGCTTTTCTGTGTGGTTTTCTGTGTGGGTTATTAATACCTATAAGAGGTGGATATAAAGCGGTATAATTATAACTTTTCTTGGAATGATGTGCTCGTATGCATAGGCTTTCAGCAATACGAGAATGTACATGTACATGGATTGAGGTTTTCCAAGAACTGACTTGTTGTGTTGTTTCATTCTCTGCACCGTGTTGCTGACTGTGCTTGTCTGTGCCTCATGTAGTTACATTGGTCATCCTCGCTACCAGTCTCTTCTCCTGGATGTGGCCAATGCCGTACTAGGTAATCAACTCCCTGCTCTATTCATTGTCCAGGTTATGTTTGAGTTAGGTTATGTTTGAGTAGTTTCCTGGTGCTACACTCTCAGGCATGTTTCTAAAGAGCAGCTGTTGTACGTGTGGATGTTTGTATGTACGTGTGTGTGTGGGGGGGGGGGGGGGGATTGCTTTACAATGGCTAGGAATTTGACGTGTATCATCATTCCGTGTGTAAGTGTAAGCCCGCAAGGATCGTAATATAATACTGGTGGTGTGTTTGTGTATACAGATATGTACGGTGGAGTCTGCGGTGAGTCACGGCGCATCACCCAGCAGCTCAACGCTCTGCGGTCACGCGTGGAGGCTGAAATCAACATGCAGCGACGCATGTTGAGCATTCTCGGCATGATGGACACGCTCTTTGCCATGGCGTCAACAAAACAACAGTAATGAGCTATCGTGTGTGGCTGTGTACATAGTTTAGCTTTGCTTGCACATAGTGCTGCTGTAACATATTCTACATGATGATGTTTTGCTAGCATGGGATTCTGTGCCAACCTGCAATATGTATACAGTTGAGAGGAAGCCGTGTCATGGTTGTCAGCCTGTTTGTGCATGGTGATTGGTGGTGGTGGTGAGAGAGGTGGTGCCGTGGTGGTGGGGAGAGTGTGCATGGCAGACTGAAAACAGAGAGGGGCTTGAATCAAGTGGGCGAGTTTTAGGCTGCGTTCATTTTTGTCTCCTTGGTAGAGTGGATGCTGAGGCGGTGGATGGTAGTTTACGAACGCAGATCTCCGCATTTTGGTAGAACATCGACTTTACAGTACGATGTACGATGTTTGTTGGAAATCAGCTCTTTCTCTCTTCCCCTTCTGCTATATGCCTGGTACATACTTCAGTACACATAGGAGATCCCCTTCTGAGATTGGCGTTAGCCTTTGGGTAATCCTGAAATAAAGATTAATACTTTATTACACTGCACACGTACATTGTATACTAGTACGTACCTGTGGATGGAGCACATTGTAACAACGAAAGTACAAGAACGTATTCTCTGCAGACTTCCCCGCCGCCTCCCGTAGGCATACACAGTGATTTGGCTTTTTTTAACATGGTTGTAAAATGACGTTTTTCAGCCACTTCTAGGCAAGCTACGTCCAAATGAATTGTTGCAAGTGGAAGTGCTATCCTTCATGGCCGTTGTGTCGAAAAATGGGAATGATCCCACTTTGGAAAGTGTCTTGAATCATGCCCTACTTTCATAGCATTCTCAGGATTCAAATAACTGGTGTGTAATTTTTTTAACAAATTTGTAAAATCATACTAAAATGGCATCACAAACTGGGATATTCGGTCATCAATGATCTGAAGTTGATAGATATCACTTCAAGGATTGCTAGTGGATTAAAATTAATCTGTCGACTGCATTGTATGCTGCAAAAGCCGTGTTTTTGAATTTGTAACTAGTGGCTGTGTCATATGGTGGAATTGGATAAGTACCATAGCATTGCAGCCATGTTTTCGTTCTCACACAGTGTATTCCGTGACCTACTGTTCTTCATTATTGTCTTTAGTTCACTGCCCTCCTCATCCATTCAGGGGCTTATTTTGCACAAAATGGCAAAGCACCCACCACTGTTTATACCGACGTGGCGGGGAGAATTAAATTACATGCACCAAATTTTCTGGTCAATGTTCGTCTACGATAAACTGGCTCTCATTTGCCACCACCCATGTTTCGATACAGCCATTCGGAGCAGAGAAGCAGCCAGAAGAAAGGCATAAACATATTTTACACATTTTGTTAAATAGCCAAATGTTTAAAAAAAGCCAAATCACCTCGCACTAGCGAACCGTCCCTGCTTGCGAACTATTTTCAAAGAAGATAGAATATCTGCATATGATGTTGACTGACAAAATAATTAATGATGATGATGAACTGACGAGAGATATTCGCTTAGCTCTTATAATAATTATAAGAGCTAAGCGAATATCTCTCGTCAGTTCATAGCCAAGACGAGTAGAAGCACACCGGAGTCAAACTATCTCACGGATTCAAAAGGGAAGTTTTCATTTCTTGTTGGCTGAGTTTTACGAAATAAACAAGAAATATGTAAATAGGCGTCGAGGCGACAATAGTTTTAGAATTGCGATCAACAGAACGAGCTGAACAATTTTTTGTTCATCATTTCTTCCATATCACATTTTTTCTTTCTTCCATGTTCTTCACTGCCTTCGTATACACTCGTTTTTTGAATACAATAAAAGCCTTTGTGAAAATGTCGGTTCAGCTCGTTCTGTTGATCGCAATTCTAAACAAGAAATGTTGTTCTTTTCGAACGAACAGGTCTGGGACCGAGGTCCGACAGTTTTGGGCGTACTGGTACGCCGCAGTCCCTCATCTTTTGTTTTCTTGCTTTGCAAGCTGGTTTCCCACCCTCCCTCCCAATGAGGAGCTTTGTATGGTTTCACACACGGGTCATGATAGTGAGAGTGCTGCGTTACTCTCTCTCTCTCTCTCTGATAGATTTCTCAATATTGCTGCTACAACATAGGTTATAAGTTGTGCGAGGCGTGGAATGTGCGGATGCTCTGTCGATTGCTGTGCTTTTCTGTAGGATTCACCTCGCACAACGCTGTCACTCTATGAGGTGTTGTTTTCGCTGGATGTTTTTTCTGTCTGTGTTCTGGACACAAGAGTGCAACCAGCCTTGCTGTGGCTGTCCCCCGCAGTTGTTATTCTGCGATGAGTGTGTGTGTGTGTGTGTGTGTGTGTGTGTGTGTGTGTGTGTGAGTGTGTGTGTGTGTGTGAGAGAGTGTGTGTAGGTGTGTGTGTGTGTGTGTGTGTGTGTATGTGTGTGTGTGTGTGTGTGTGTGTGTGTGTGTGTGTGTGTGTGTGTATGTGTGCAGTACTGACGTGTGAGTGAGAAAAGAAACCTCATTACACTCCCTGTAAAACGCTGGCGCAACCCGCCAGGAAAACCGCAGTTCAGAACCGAACTGAATACACTATAATAATGTATTCAGTTATAGTTATTATATATTAACATCGTCTCAGATTAATAGATAGACCGTGGTTCACCATGATCAGACGCCTACGAAACTAAACTGAATTCACACGCTCGCGTAAAGACTGAAGAGAACAGGAAGACTGAAGGAAGACAGGAAAGAAAATGCCATATCTGGAATTAGCTTACATTGGCAATGTACATGGAGCTCCATCCTTTGAGACGCTAGCGCTATCTGTCATGGAGCCCAATCCCTAGGCTAGAGACACGCTGGCTGCCATCATGACTGGCTAGTTGTGGCGGGCGGCGGGAGCAGCGGAGCTGGGGCAGCGGCGGGTGCTCCTTCAGATACACTAACTTGAGCCCTCAGCGAACGTGGATGAAAACTAAAACTAAAATTGACGGCTGTCACAAATGTGTAGCGGCCATTACGTCGGAAAACATGCAACTAGAACAAAACTTTACCGCTGCCACCAATTTTGTAGCGCCATTGCTACCAATGTAAAACAGGTGGGGTCGAATCTGACAAAGTTGACTTTAAGGTGGCAGACTACCCAAAATTCGCTGAAAAATCGAATTTGTAAATTCACATTGAGTGCTACGTCAGTTGAAAGAGCTTGAATAGCTGCAAATTCTCTGAAAATTGTGTCCCGATCTGACCAGCCGTTCAAGGGTGCGTTTGGTTGGTACGATCTAGAACAGGATCGAACAGCTGGTGCACACGGAGCAGCCTCATGCCAACCAAACGGTACTCCAGAACTAGAAACAGAGCATATTTTTGTGAAAAATATGCCAAACTTGGTGCATTTTTCAAAATGTGTATGGGTCACCATGGTCACTGTGTACGGTACGACGAGTCCAACCCAAAAGCGTATGCACGTGATCATTTGGGACCAAAATCGATGTTCCCGCCAGGTTTCACTGTGAAAAAGTGAAACTGCTCGGTCTGCTCCGGCCTCGAGGCCGGTGCAAGCAGAGCATGTTCTGGCCGACCCAGAACAGGTGCAGTCCCAACCAAACGCGCTGTTCTGTTGAATCCTGTTCTAGTTCGTACTTTAGAGGGGTTGGAAACGTGCCTCTAATCACGCGTACAGCAGACAATGTTCTTTTAACAATTAACTCCCAGTATCGAGGCAGCGAGAATCGGTATATTGCACACAGGAAATGGCAAGGAGATAGTCCAACGAAGGAAGAATTCTACGTGCAGAGACAAACCACAAACTACTGCCAGAAGTCCAGAAGTGGAAAAAGCAAGAAGAAGAAAGCCTGAGCCGACTTTCAATGCCAGAGCTAGATCCTCGTAAAGGATACTTGGTGGAACAACAACAAAACACATATATACAAATATGGGTTTTTTTTGTATTTTTTTGTTTTGTTTGGCACAAACACAAGAAGCAAGAATGACACGAAAAGCAGAAACTATGAGAACATGGTATAAATGAGCACGGCCATCAACCTCAACAGGGGATAGCCGCCTCGGCAACAACAAGAGCAGCTGAGTCCGCGGCAAAGACCGGTGCATAGAGCCGCCTAGCACCCCTCAGGCACATCACACTGGATCGGACCAAGGCAAAGCTGATTTGACACCGGATCGAAGCCATCACGGCACTGTAGGCCTCTCCGGTCTTGTCGGCGATGAGGGACGCTATCCTCTTGTACAGAGAGGTGGCAGATTTCCCCATGCCTCCCGTAGTGGAGAACACGGCGGGAACAAAGCTGGAGTGTTCCACTTCTCGGATTTTCTGCTCATAGGCACGGCGCTTGGCTTTTTCGTGACGGGTGTAGCTAGCAGCAAGTGAGTTGATGCGATTCGAGGACGCAAAAGGGTTAAACACCCGGACATCAATGTAGGTGCGCTCGAACCGCCCTCCCCAAATACCACTAGCCACCACGTCAAGGCGGGCTTGGTCGTCGCCCACAGCAGTACGGTACCGGTACCGGAGCTGCTCTCCAGTGAGTGGCTGCAAATGTGGCTCAATACAAATATGGTACGAGGTGATTCGTCATTATTTAACACGAAAGTAAAAAAGCCTTCCGTAGGGTTCGAGGTGCGAATCTTTCCATTTCTTCCTCCAAAAATGTAATACTGATGTCCTTAGATTGCAATGGTGGGTTGTTCATGCACATAATCCTTGGTGTTGGGAAGCAGGGGGCAGTTGAAAAATGGCAATTTTTCCGCATATTATTTGTTGTGGTCATTTCTTAACATCATGGTAAAATAGGCCTTAGCAGCACAATTCAAGTCAGTTTTCAATAGAAAGAGACCCTACGTATCCAGGATGGTCCAGCAAGACTGGATCAAGATCATGTTGATCCAAATACAAGCCATTCAAGCTTGCATAGCAGTAGGTGTATCACCCTGATTTTATATGCAATTGTGATCATGATCTGTTAGTAAATTCAGTAGTTGCCAATGTTTGGCCATTACCAGGGCCAACACACCCCATTCCTCCTTCCCAGGCGTCGTTTCCAGTACGTAGCTATCATATGCTTCCTTTTCAGCTAAATATATTGTCACTGGAGGTTGAAACCAGCGGCTATGACTCTCTTATACTCTATTTTACCGTAAAC